CTGGGGAGCGTGGGCACGCAGTGAGGACGCACACGTGGGCACCGAGCGTGTGCTGGCATGGGCACGTGTGCAGGTGGCAGGAGGATCTGGGGGAGAACAGGGAGAGCTTCCCTTCCCTTCCCTTCCCTTCCCTTCCCTTCCCTTCCCTTCCCTTCCCTTCCCTTCCCTTCCCTTCCCTTCCCTTCCCCTTGGGACCTATGTGCTCAGGGATGTGCAGATGGAGCGATGCCACATGTGTCCCTGTGTCACTTGTTGAAGCACCAGGAGGATCTGTGCAGCCCCATTCTGGCAGCGTGTGCTGTGGCTCGCAGTGTGTGAGCAGCCCTTCGCTTTTCTAGGTCATGGCACTGCTGCCTGTGCTGGATGCTGCCTGGCACCGCTGACGTGGGGATTTGGCCCCGAGGAGGTGGCCTTGGGGTGGCCGAGCTGTGCTGTGCTGAGCGTCTGGCTGTGGTTTTGGGGTGGGTGATGCTGATAGATGGGGCGTGTGGCGTGGGACTGGCGCTGAGTGGTGCTTTGGGAAGGCACTGGAGGCAGTGGGGGCTGATCCCTGCTCTACGGCGGAGCCAGGCTATGGGGAGCCAGCATTGGTGCTCATGTGGTCCCAGCACAGAGGCGGTGGGGAGGAGCGGGGCGGCCACGGCTGTCGTCACTGTGTCTGTGGCTCTCGCTTGGCTGCCCTCTGGCCGCCCTCATCGGGTTGCTCAGAGCCCCATTCCCCAGTGGGGTTTGGCACCGTGGACACTGGAGGCGGCTGCAAGGCGGCGTCAGCCCCTCTGTGCTGGAGCCTGGCAGCAGTTCCTCCTCGAGGCCTTTTCTTCCCACACACTGCTTTTGATCTAAGGAGTTTGCCAGGAGCTGGGATGCTACAAACCTCAGTCTGAGCTGGAGAGAAAATGGACACAGACCTGTGGGTGCTGCCATCATTGCCTGCATCCAGGCTATTTCTATATGGAACCATGGGAATAGATGGGTTTTCCTTCACCTGGGCTGTGCCCATCGCTGCTGAGTGACAGATATGGGGCAGGACAGCCCCGTCCCCACAAGCTCCCTGTACTTTCCGTGCCCCACAGGAGGGGATGCAGCAGCCCTGCACTTGAATGGACACACGGACCTTTTGGGACCTGCCTACTTTGACGCCTCGATGCTTCTCCAGGGGAATTTGGACCAGGGCCCTGCAAATTCACTTCCTACCACGCTGCCATCCTCTAATGGGGACGAAGCTGGCCCAGAGCCACCTGACTCGGTTGCCAAACATCAAGGCTCCGTCTTTCCTCTGTGCTTGCGGGGGCCACCGCGTCCCTCTGCTCTCAGCCCATCTATTCATTCTCAGTGTCTGCCGAGAGCAGGGTGGATCCAAGCCCTTCTCCTCCGCAGAGAGCAGCACCTTGGAGGCTCCCGACGCATCCAGCTCCAGACGAGACCAGGGACTACTGAACCCCCCACCCCGCATGCATCCACTTACTGCTGCTGTCTGAAGGTCTGGAACCCCAATTTGGTGACCTCCTGGAACCCCCTGCCCCTTGGCACGGTGTCCGGGGGGAGGGGGAGGAGGGGCAGGACGGGTCTGTGCAGTGGGAGCAGCGTCCTAATGGCACTCGGATGGCAGAGGGAGCAGCCCAGTGCCGGACTTGGGGGGACCTCACTGCTATGGGGTGTGTGCACACCATTCCCTAGCAGAGCGTAATCCTCAATCCCAGTGGAGATCCCACCGCGCCGTCTCCCGGCCTTGCTTCTGGAGTGGAGTTTTACCAACAGCAGTTAAGTAAAATAAATAAAAAGGCCTGTGCTTGCCAGTGGTAGCGCGGCGCGGCCACTGATTGGCAAAGCGGCCCCATTAATTACGGCTCCGCGCCGCTGCCAGCCTGCGTGCTTCAGGAACGGCGGTGGCAGCGAGCCGGGAGGCACAGCGCTGCGGTGGGGGGGAGGAAAGGGGGAGTGAGCAGGGAGAGGGGCGGCAGCGGGGGCAGGGGGGGATGCGCTGCAAAGCCAACCCCGCGCTGAGCGCGCACGTGTCGGTGTTCGCGGCAGCACCAGCGCGCACACGCCTGGGCGCACACGTGTGCACGTGCGTGCTTTGCAGGGTGCCGCGTTCCGGGGGGCTGAGGGGGGAAGGCTGAGCTTTCGGTGTCCCGCTCTTTCATCTGGCAGAGCTCAGAGCCTTAAGGAGGGATGGAGAGGCCGCGCCGGCGCTGGGTGCGGGCGGCAGCGGGAGGTGAGCGCGGGGGCGGCTCTGCGGCTCCCGCTGCCTTTGAAGCAGAAGCGAAGATCCCAGGAGTGGGAAGCGGGCAGCTCACCTCGTGGAGAAGAGCTCGTTAGAGAGCTTTGTTCGCCGGCGGTCACCGCTGGGCAGCTGTGATGTGCTGTGATGGGATGGAGATGCTCCGCGCCCGGCAGCCGCGTGGCTGTGCGTCCTGCACCGAGCCGTGCCGAGCCGTGCCGAGCCACCCACCGTCCCACTCCTCCTGCCATTGTTTTCCAGCCCGGTGCCCCGCTGCCCGGTGCTGCAGCGCTGCCCCGCACCGTGCCCTGCCCTGGTCCCTCACCTCCCACAGTCCCACGGATCGTGCGTCTCATTCAGCCTATTAACAGAACACTGCCCGGCTAAAAAGCGTGTCACTTAAAACCCAAATCTCCTTTACTTTGCTATTAATCGTTTCGCAGATTATTAATGCTGGCAGGGTTTAGTGACGCCCGCTTATCGCTTCTGGGGCGGTGTCTTTGTTTCTGCCATTGCGTGGCACAGAGAAACCTCTGCTCCCAGCACCAGGGCTGGGCAGATGGAGCTGTGTGGAGTCCCCCATGAAGTCACCATTAATGCGAAGATCTTCAGGAAAACAGCCTGTGAGCACAGCTGGGGTGTTGCGGTGCAGGGCAGTGCCTCCTCCTGCTGCTGGAACCCGGAGCGATGCAGGATGCTGGCAGCAATGGGGAGATATGGGGTCCCAGTGTTGATGGCGTGCTGCCCACTCCCCAACGGAGCCGCCACTCCCCCTGTGGCACAGCGCTGTCATTTCCATGCAGTCGTTTCCCGGCTCTGTAATGGCTCTTTAAAAGCTTTAATTAAAAACCCAGCCCTCCCCTCAGCCCGGGCGGGGAACAAAGGGTGATGAGAGGGGCTGGAGCAGGCTGCAATGTGCCAGCAGTGCCAGCAGTGCCAGCGGTGCCAGCAGCAGCTCCCACAGCCCTGTGAGGCGCTGGGATGCAGCCGATCTCTGGGGGCAGTGGGGATCCCCCCAGCCCACAGCTCCCAGCATGGCAAGGTGTGTGCTGGGCTCTCCCCTGCACGAGGGTTGGGACAGTTTTGAAGCACTGGGACAGCGGTGCTGCACGGTGCGATGTCCCCACGGCGATGCCAGGTAGGGCTGGTGGCAGCCTCGATGTCCCCGAGCCGCTCTGCAGCACTGTGTCCCCGCGGGTCACTCGGTGCCCCAGCTGTTCAATATCTTCTCAGGCTCAGCGTGAGGCCCAATGAAATATTTTCACTGCAGCGGCAGCAGCTCTCGCTGCAGGGAGCGGGGCTGGTGCTTAACAAGGCCTTCGGCAGCGGCTGTGCGCTGGTGCTGGGAGCATCCTGGCTCTGCTGCGGGGACGGGGTGTGGGATGCTCCTGCAGGGCAGCGTGGCTGGGATGCAGGGAGCCGTGCCGGCTGTGCTGGCAGTGGGGCCGAAGCTTTTCCTGCTTGCTGCTGCCGGCTGAGGGAAGCAAGCACCATCTTGTGTCCCTGCCAGGCTGCGGGAGCCCCGCGCTCAGCTCGCTGCAGAGTGGAGCGTGTCCCCATCTGACCTCCTCCTCCCCTTCCTCCTCCTCCTCCTCCTTGCCATCCCTAAAGCTGCACATGGTCGGATCCTCCAGGGGACCCCGTGTCCCTGACGGTGTCTGTAATGCCTGCAGAGCTCTGGCAGGGGCACGGCGCAGCTCGCTGCTTGTTGGGTCTCCTGTTGAATGGGGCTGGAGCAAAGCAGTGCTTCCGTTCATTCCCCCCCATTTTACACCTGGGGGTCCCACCTCCATCCTGCCCAACCGCTGCCTGCCGTGCCTTCCTCCCCGGGCACGTGCTGCTGGCACTGAGCCCCTGTGCCTGTTGCATGTGAGCTGGATTATTTTTAGCTCCCTAATGTGCCCTGCACCGCTTCAGCGCAGCCTCAGCCGCAGCTCAGGCTCCTGCCCTGCACGGGGGAAGCCCGGCTGCCATCAATAAGGGCAGGATTTGGAACGTGGAAGAGCCTGAGGGTGAAGGGGCACCTCCCAGCCCTCTCCAGTTGTTCCCTCTGCCCCACAGAGCAGTGCTGATGCGCATTCGGTGCCCTTGGCTGCTGTAAAGCTGCACTCTGGTCCTGCTTAAAAAGGCTACCGCGTGCATTATTTTGTTAATGAGTTATTAAATAGCTATTGACAGCAATGCTCTGCATACTTGGTGTGGTACCCAAGAAAGAAATAGCTGTTGGAATGATTGCTCACCCCATGCTGGGGTCTCAGTGTGGGAGGTTGGATGCCATGACAGTGAGGCGTTCCAGTGAGCTGTGGGGTGCGGGGGGGCTGCAGGATGAGGCCAGAGTGCTGTGCCTGCTGGGCAGCGCTGGTCAGAGCTGCAGGAAGGATCCCTGCAGAAGTTGTCAGTCTCAGTGATGCGCGTGGAAATGGGATGGCAGCAGGGAGAGGGTCCTGGGTGCTGTACAGAGCCTGGGTGTTGCAGGGGGTGGCATTTCCCACGGTGACCCCCAGCACCTGCTCACCCCACAGTTCCTGCCCTTGAGTGAGCAGGAGCTGCAGCATTGGTGGCTTTGGCTCACAGCCCCCGGTTCAGTGCCATGTGCTGCCATCATGGGGGTCACCGCAGCACAGTGGGTTGGGGCAGCACTGGGTGAGGGCTGTCCCCTGGGGGCTGGGAACACCCGATGTGCCTGACCCCCCCCCTGCACCAGCTCCGGACCCCCTGTAAGCATCCATCTGTCTCCATTTGTCTTGTCTGCTTATCCATCCGTCCATCTCTCCCACAGGGCAAATGCCATAGGATGACCGCTGCTGGTCCCCTCTTACTGGCTGTGATATCGTCTGTCCTGTGGCTCACACGGGGCTTTGACCCGGCTCCCAGCGCCTGCTCCGCTCTGGCTTCCGGCGTCCTCTACGGCTCCTTCTCTCTCAAGGACCTCTTTCCCACCATCTCCTCCGGCTGCTCCTGGACCCTGGAGAACCCCGACCCCACCAAGTACTCTCTGTACCTCCGCTTCAACCGTGAGGAGCAGGTGTGCACCCACTTCTCGCCCATGGTGCTGCCGCTCGACCACTACTTGGCCAACTACACCTGCGAGCCGCGCACGGAGCCCGCCAGCCCCCCGCCCTCCCCACACCCTGAGGAGGAGGAGGAGAAAGACGAGGAGGAGGTGGAGGAAGCCGAACTGGAGCTGTGCGAGGCCGCGGGGCCCTTCACCTTCCTGCACTTCGACAAGAACTTCGTGCAGCTGTGCCTGGCGGCGGAACCCGAGGCTGCCCCACGCCTGCTGGCCCCGCAAGCGCTGGAGTTCCGCTTCGTGGAGGTGCTGCTCATCAACAACAACAACTCCAGCCAGTTCACCTGCAGCGTGCTGTGCCGCTGGCTGGAGGAGTGCCTGCAAGCCCCCGGCGCCCGGCGCTGCGGCCTCACCCATGCGGGTTGCAGCTGCCAAGCAGAGAGCCCCCCGGCACCGCGGCACAATGGCACACGGCACCCCACCACCCGCACGCCTGCCCCGCCGCCCGCTGCCACCCCCCAGTGCTGCCCCCAACCTGAGCTGCATTCTGCCAGTGGCAATGAGTTCGAGCTGCCCGAGGTCCCCCACGGTGAGTGGGGTGTGCTGGGGGGTGGTGAGGTGGGGTTGGGGGCTGGAGACAGAGCGGGGACGGTGCGAAGGGTGGATCTTGTTCATGCACACTCCTGTCTCCAATTGGGTGCTGTGCTCTGAGCAGGGAGAATGTGCAATGGATGCATCCTGACCATGCATGCTTCTCGGGAATGGAGGTGCAAATCCACATCCGGTTGTGGAGCAAGGAAATATGCAAAGGATGGACCTTGCTCATGCAACTTCTCAAGATGGGGGGGACACAAAGTGGGCTCTGCACTGAGCAGAAACACCACGCACAGGATAAATCCTGCTGTGTAAATCCCTCCCGCGCCCACTCCCAGCTCTGGGTGCATCTCTCTGAGCAACACTCTGAGCTCCCAGAGCTGCAGCTCGCTCTGACCAGCCCAGCCCCTGCGCTTTGCCACGGCTCTTTGAGCACAGCCTGTGCAGCCCCAGGGCCTCGCTCTCCTCCTGCGCGGCCGCGCTGCTGCTCGCCTGACCGCGAGCCCGGAGCAGGAGCGCTGTCACTCTGCATTGGTGCAGACGTGGAAAACAATTTGCAGGTAAAATGACCCTTTCCCACGGCAAATTACCCTTGACTGCTGCAGCCCGTGCTCTTGTTATTCCAGGCAGGATGGCACGGCCGGGCTGTTAACCAGGCACAGCGAAGCCATTTACTCAGGACGGAATTGCGGCAACAAATTGCAAGCAAAGCAGTCATGTCCCCCCCCGCCCTGAGCAACGGGGCTGGGCTGGTGGGGGGCCTCCCATCCCAACGCTCCCTTTGCACGTGGCGCCGTCCCTGGTGCTTTGGGAGCACATCTGGCCAGATGTTCCCCTGTGCCAGCCCCAGGCGATGCAATGAGGAGCTTAGCTGCTCGTGCTCTTTATCCAGGGCACCGCTGCTCCCAGCAGATTAGGTGGTGGCGATGGGCTGTGTGTATATATATAATTTCATTGGGCTTTAGCATTTATTTCAGGAGCTAAATGTCATTACGGGCAGATCCCCCAAATAAATCCCCGGTCCGTTTCAGCTGCGCGGCTATAAATCGCCTCATCCCGAGGGGAGCTCCTTGATCTGATTTTTTTTCTTCTCCCCCCCTTCCCTCCCCACTTTAAATGCAACTCTGCATGGGAGGATTAAGAGCTCAGAGCCGGGTCCAGGTGCCATCCCATTGCGCTGCATCCCTGTTGCACTGCATCCCCACGCACACCGGGCGCTCACGTGCGTCACTGCGCCCGGAGCACAGAGCATCCTTCATGGCAGCGAGGGGTGCTCCCACCTGGCCTCCCCCGAGCCCCCCGGGGGGAGAATGGGCTCCTTTCAGGGCGGCAGCGGGGCTGGGGCTGAATGGCGTCTGTGAGCAGAGCTTGGCGGGTGCCCAGCACTGATCTCACCGGCTCTCCTCCGCCGAGAGCCGCAGCCGCTCGGGGCTGGCATCGGCCCAGCAGCTCCCGGGGCCTCCCCGTTCCCAGCCACGGTGGTGCCACGGGGTCCCCGTCCCCTGCGCTGTCCATTTTACACTGTGGGAGCCAAAGGGATGCAGCCCCGTTCCCAGCTGTGGCGGTGCCATGGAGTTCCCATCCCCAGCACCGTCCCTGTGCACCACGCACCCAAAGGGATGCAGCCCCCAGAGTGCAGCATCGTGTGGGTGCACAGCCCATGCAGGCAGAACTCCCCCACCAGGCGGGTGGAGGGTGGGGGCATCATGAAGTGACTGCATGTGTCACAGCCGTGCTGTCCATATTTCTGCCATTGTGGTCTCAGCCCTCCAGCTGTGCAGCTCATGGGGCCGCAGTGCCCCTTCCACGGAAACCACTGCCCCACAGCAGCCACCACCACGGCAGTGATGCTGGGAGGAGGCTGTGGGCTCCCAGCTTTCTGGGACATGACCACCATTGAGAGGAGCAAACTGAAGGACCCCCTCCTTGCAGCAGTGGTGTTATGGGGAACCCCAGGTCAGGTGCTATGGGAGCAGCAGGGTCTGGGCATGGCTGTGGGCAGAGCCCTGCAGTGAGGACTGGGGATTTAGTGCTCTCCAAAGAAAATTGAATTTGGTGTCTCTGTCGAACACAGCTGGGCAGAGCGCCCTCATATATCCTCTGGATTTATGGCTTCCCCAGGCTCTCGCGGGGATGTTTGTAATTGTGCTGTGCTGTTCTCAGGGCCAGGTGGCCCTATGGCTGAGCAGCACCTGGTGGTCCCGTGTCCCCATGTGCTGCAGAGCAGTGCACACACAGAGGGGCTGCGTCCCAGCACAGGGCAGAGCCAGGCAGGGTCGCGCCAACCTGAAGGCGAGTCGGTAAATTTGAGTCTATTTTCTGGCACTGCTAAGTGTCAGCACAGGAGGTGCTCCCTGCCTGCAGCCATATATCAATGTGTGCGTTGCACGAGGAGCACGGCTGGGTGCTGCACATCCCCGTGTCACCTCCCATCCATCCCGTGGGGACGTCGCTGTGCTGAGGTGGTCACATCATCCCAGCTGGCACAGCAATGGGGTGCCATGGGGCTTCGGGCTGTGTGTGCCACCTGCACCCTGCTCTGCCTGGGGACATCGGCACCACCTCCATCCCGATGGCTCGGCGTCACTCCCACAGCTGGGATCTCATCGGTGTGCTGGATGTGGGGACACTGAGGGATCCCGGGAGGGTCTGGATGGGGAGATGGGGTAAGGCTGCCCCTGTGCCTCTCTGCTGAGCCCTCTGTGTGCCAGTTAATTTCACGCCAAATGCTCTTGATGGATCTCTTGTTATTTTTGGTGAGCTGAGCCATAAATTTGTGCCACCTCACTGCAGCAATCTGTTCGGTGGGGAAGGGAGAGCACCGCCTCTCGCTGCCATTCGGGTGCCCAGGGTGCGCTGGGGACGTCGGTACCCCGGGGTGCATGGATTGATTTCAGCCCACATGACCAAAACGCAGGGGCTGACAGAGGTGTGATGCATTTTAAGGCTGTGGGTGTGCTCTGCCATCTGTGCCCCTCAGGAAGCCACAGAGTGCCCAGCATGGGGCTGGGCATCCTCATCCCGCTTCATAGTGTCCCCACAACATCCATCCTCGTGTTGTCCCCTCATCCCCATGCCCATCCCCTTATTTGCTGTCCCCACAATGTCCCATCTCCATGCCCGTCCCCTGCCTGCTCTCACTGCAGCCCTTCTCTCTTCCAGGCAATGCTGTTGAGGAGAACCAGAAGGTGAAGACGCAGTGGCCACGGTCGGCGGATGAACCAGGGGTGTACATGGCCCAGACAGGTACGGGTGCAGTAGGGCGAGGGATGGGTGATGGGTGATGCAGACAGAGTGACTTCCTTTGCTTCCAGCCCACGGACAGACTTCATTTGTTCCATTTATACGTTTTTTCTCTGTGCCTTCCTCCAGGGATTGTAAAGCAAGAAAAAAAAAAAAAAAGAAGAAAAATCTATTAATTGTTTCGTTCAAATGTATTTATTTGGCAAATTCATCTGGGTAATTGGAGCGTTGTGCTCCCCCTCCCCAGCACCTCCTGATTGATGGGCCTGAAGCTGAGCTGGGAGATGGATGGGCCCCAGCACTGCTCTGTGTGCCCAGCATGCAGATCTCCCACAGCCAACTCCTACCCCATGGAGCTGCTGGGTGTGGTGTGGGGCATGGGAACACCCACTGTGGGGGGCACCCAACCCCACTGCCAGCCCCAAATGTGACCCCGTGGGGGAGATGTCCCAATACCCCCATGATGCAGGCACCTCGGTGGGAGCAGAGCCTGCCTGCAGGACAAATTGTGTCCCCTTCAGAGCCTTCTTCCGTGTATTCCTTTTTAATTTAAACTGATGGCCTTTTCTTCTGGTCTGTCCAATAGCTTCAGATGGATCATCAAGCTTCATCAGAGCTGGGTGCTTGCAAATGTCAGCAGTGTGGCTGTGCGGGGAGGGCGGGCGGTGCTTCGTGTGCCACAGGTCTCCCAGGGCACCCAGAGATCACGCAGGGCTGGGACTCCACACAGGGTCAGATCTGTGCAGGGACCCCGGGAGGTGTCAGATCCTGTGCCCTGACCCTTTTTTCAGGTCTGGGAGCAGCAGTGCCATGGTGATACATGGCTCCTTCACCCTGCTTGCAGCCTTGGTGCGCTCGTGCTCGCTGTGCCTGTGGATACTGCCCGTCTCCAACCCCATCCCCAACCCCATCCCCAGGGGGTCCGCATGGCTCTCCCCAGGCTGCCCCCATCCCTCACACCCTGTCTCCCCCCAGGGGACCCCGCGGCGGAGGAGTGGTCGCAGTGGAGTGTCTGCTCACTGACATGTGGGCAGGGCTCCCAGGTGCGGACGCGCTCCTGCGTCTCCTCTCCATACGGGACGCTGTGCAGTGGGTTGCTGCGGGAGACACGCACCTGCAACAACACGGCCACCTGCCCAGGTATGGGGCACTGGGGAGCGGGGGGACATCAAGGGATGGGGACAGCAGTGTTGTGCATTTGTGGAAAATGGGGGGAAGAGAGGATGCGGCTTTGTGCAGCTCGTTTCCCCATCATCTTGCCTTCCCTGTGGCATCATTCCTGGGGAGCACTGTGCCTGGGGAGCAGTGCAGTGTGTCTGCCCCATGGCGTGGGGCTGGGGTCAGGAAGCCACCAGTAGCTGATCCCAATCTGTGCATGGCAGGAGGTGGCCAAGCTGCCTGGTGCTCTGCTATGGATCATGGGCAGGAGCAGCAGGATGGATGCCTGCTGTGCCCTGTGCACTGAGGGGGCTGTGCATCTTCTGTGAGGCTGCAGGGAGCAGTGTGTCTGCAGCAGGCAGGCTGTGCACTCCATGACATGTGGGTGCTCCCCTGGGTGTGGGGGCTAATGGGGACATCTCAGCTCACAGAGCATCCTTTAGGATGCCTGGGGAGCTGTGTGGTCCCTGGCTGCTTCCAGATGAGCTGAGCTCGTGTAATGTGATTTGTGCAAGGAAGGGGCCGTGCACGTGTTTTGGTGCCAGAGTGAGTGGGCGCAGCGTGCACACACCACTGGGAATCCAGCAGGGAAGCTGGAGCTGGGCAGGGAGCCACGTGGCATCACTGCTGCCTGCTTGGGGCTGGTAGGGCACAAAGGTGGGGAGGGTACAGCTGTGCCATGGGAACATGCCCAGCAGTGCTCCCAGGCACAAGGGGTCTGCAATGTCCAGGACCCCTTGGTGCCAGGAGGAGGGGAAGCAGGGAGGCTGCAGCCCAGGGAGCCAGGTGCGCCGTGACGGCCTTGTGCTGTGTTGCAGTTCACGGTGCCTGGGAGGACTGGTCCCCGTGGAGCCTGTGCTCGGTGACCTGCGGGCGAGGGGCCAGGACCAGGACGCGGCGGTGCGTGGCCCCGCAGCACGGAGGGAAAGCCTGCGAGGGCCCCGAGCTGCAGGCCAAGCCCTGCAGTATCGCGACCTGCCTGGGTCAGTACCACTCCCCTCTCCCCCTGCTCCGTGTCCCCAGCCCTGGGACAGCCAGGAAAAGAGCTGAGAGCGAGGGCTGTGCTCCCAGCACAGGGGCTGCAGTGATGCAAGGTTCAGGCATTGCAGCCACGGGGACATGGGACAGCGTGGGGACACAGGGGTGCATCCCACGCAGGGGTCCCCATGGAGAGCCAGCCGTGCTGCAGGGCCCAGGGCCCCCACCATGGGCATGAGGAGCCATTCCTGGAGTGTGCTGCACCTGGGGTGGCACAGGAACATCGTGGGGCACTGGGGAGGTGCTGGAGGTGCTGTGTGTGTTTGCCCAGGTGCTGTGTCGGAGCCGTGGGCTGCAAGGACACCCCACGTGAGGTGCAGTGATGCAGGAGGAACATGAGGTGCACAGAGTGCACCCAACATCCTCGCCATGCAGGGCTGCATCCCCGCTGCACGTTGTGGCTTTTGTCACCTAGAGTGCTGGAATCTGTCGGAGCTCATGGTGCAGAGCAGTGCTGGGGCATTGCTGTGCTGTAACAGCAGTGCTGTGGGGTCGGGGTCAGTCCTGGTGAAGAGACCCTGGTTAGAGCACAGCTCAGTGCTGCCAGCTCAGCTTTGGCACGTGTGAAGTGGCACGTTGTGAGGTTGGACCCGTTGCACGCAGAGCGCGGTGCGGGCGGTGGGCAGCTGGGGCTGGCACTGTGCAGGAACTGACCCATTTCTCTCACTTTGTCCCCACAGTGGAAGGGCAGTGGTTGGAGTGGGGGGCCTGGAGCCGCTGCTCCGTCACCTGCGCCAACGGCACGCAGCAGCGCACGCGCAAGTGCAGCGTCTCGGCCCACGGCTGGGCGGAGTGCCGGGGGGCCCACGCCGATGCCCGCAAGTGTTCCAACCCCATGTGTCCCAGTAAGGCTCCGTGTGCTTGGAGGGGTCCGGGAGGGATGCGGCATGATTCTGCCTTAATGCTGCTGTGATGTCACTGTCGGTGTTGTGAAGCTGCTGGCATGCTTGCGGGGTCACCGTTGCGGATGTGGATGCATGGGGAGCAGGACAAAAGCACGGTGCTGGGGTGCAGCAGCTGCCCACCTTGCACTGGTTGCTCCCTCCAGACGTGTCCTGGCTGGAGGAGATGTCTCTGTGCTGCTCATCCCTGCTGCTCCTTGCACCGTGCTGAGTACCCATTGGTACCTGATGGCTGCAGGTCCTGGTGCACGGAGCGCAATGGTGGGGCTGAGATCTGACCCCCCCCCCCTTCCCCCATAGGGTCTTGGGGATCAGGAATGGGGACACGGGGCTAAAGGCTGTGTCCTGTCCTCCCCCTGTCCTTCATCTTTCCCTGCATCAGCTGCAGGTGTGGAGGGAAGTGGGTGTAGGGTGGGGTGGGTGCCCTCAGGCTGCCAGCAGCGGGCCTGCAGGGTGTGGATGTTTCTCTTGTTGGAAAGAGATTTAAGTTATCGATTCTGCAGTCAGCATTGCAGTGGGAGCACAGCCCTGCCCTGTCCCCATCCCCACATGGCACTGGGTGTCGCTTGTCGCGCTCAGCAGCCCGGGGCCCCCACGGTGTCCCTGTCCCCACAGCCGACAGCAAATGGGGCCCCTGGAACCACTGGAGCCTCTGCTCCAAGACGTGCGACACGGGCTGGCAGCGCCGCTTCCGCATGTGTGAGGGCACCGGCGTGCAGGGCTACCCCTGCGAGGGCACGGGCGAGGAGGTGAAGACCTGCAATGAGAAGAAGTGCCCAGGTACGGGGCAGCCCCCAGCGCCCACCTGGGGGCCAGGGCTGTGTCTGACCCCCTTCCTGCCCCACAGCCTACCACGAGATGTGCAAGGATGAGTACGTCATGCTGATGACCTGGAAGAAAACCGCGGCTGGGGACGTCATCTACAACAAGTGTCCTCCCAATGCCACAGGTGAGGGGTGTGGGGTGAGCATCCCCCCCAGCCCTGGGGGTGCTGCCATTGAGCCCCCAGCCCTTGTTTCCCCTGCAGGGTCCGCCAGCCGCCGGTGCCTGCTGAACCCCCACGGGGTCGCATACTGGGGTGTGCCCAGCTTCGCCCGCTGCATCTCCCACGAGTACCGATACTTGCATCTCTCAGTAGGTGCACGCTCCGTCCCCTGTCCCTGTGGGTCCGCAGCCCCTGTCCCTTGCTGTCCCCATGCAGGGTGGGTGTCTCCCTAGCACACTTCCTGCTCCTCAGGGTGGTTATTTCATTGCCCCGTGGGTAACCATGTGGGGAAACTGAGGCAGGGTGGGGAAGGAAGTCACCATCCTGCAGCCAGAAGGAGATCCCGCCCTCACTGTGCCTTCACAAAGTGACTCTTGGGATGGAAAGACCCTCTGGTCCCCTTTTCCTGCTGCTTCCCTAGTTAGTCTGATTAGTTCTGGGCATGGCAAGGGATGAGGGCACGTGCTGGCCACCAGGTGACACCGTTTTCCCCTGCCCTCATCCTGATCCAGCTGCGAGAGCACCTGGCCAAGGGGCAGCGAGTGCTGGCGGGTGAGGGGATGTCGCAGGTGGTGCGCAGCCTGCTGGAGCTGATGGCCCGCAAGACCTACTACAGTGGGGACCTGCTCTTCTCTGTCGAGATCCTGCGCAACGTCACCGACACCTTCAAGAGAGCCACCTACATCCCGTCCTCTGAGGATGTGCAGGTAGCAGGATGGGGACACGTGGGACACTGCTGGGTGGTGGTAGTGGTGGTCCACCCCCAGTGCCACTGAGCCCCGTCCCTGCAGCGCTTCTTCCAGGTGGTGAGCTACATGGTTGATGCAGAGAACAGGGACAAGTGGGAGGATGCGCAGCAGGTGAGCAGTGCGGCCATTTGTCCCCACAGTATCCCCACGATGTACCCCACAGTGTCCCCACAGTGCCCCTATGGCGTCCCATGGGGGGATGTACCCCAAGCTGCCTGCTGCCCACAGGTCTCTCCCGGCTCCGTGCACCTGATGAAGGTGGTGGAGGACTTCATCCACCTGGTGGGGGATGCACTGAAGGCGTTCCAGAGCTCACTCATTGTCACCGACAACCTGGGTGAGCGACGGGCGGTGGGGGAATGGGTGAGGGTGCTGGGGTGGGGGTCCTGGGGTGGGGGTCCTGGGGATGACACCTGCTGTGCCTGCAGTCATCAGCATCCAGCGTGAGCCCGTCTCTGCCGTGTCCAGCGACATCAACTTCCCCATGAAGGGCCGCCGGGGCATGAAGGACTGGGCACGCAGCTCTGAGGACAAACTCTTCATCCCCAGGGAGGTGCTGAGCCTCGCCTCTGCCGGTACGGGGGTGGGCACGGGAGTGAGTGTGCACACGTGTGCACGTGGGTGAGCGTACGCATCCTGGAGTCTGCACAGGTTCATGTCTGAGCATGCATGGGTGTGAGCGTGCACTTGGGTCTTTGTGCATGTACGTGTGAGTGTGAGAATGTGCATCTCTGGCTGTGTGTGTGTGAGCACACATGTGTACATGTGAGTGTGCACCTGACGCTTTGTGTGTCCATGTGTGCACACGGGTAAGCATGCACATCCAGGAGTCAGCACGAGCGTGCGAGCGTGCACATATGTGAGTGTATGGCTGAGTGCACATCTGCAAGTGTGCATGTGTGTGCAAGCGGCACGTTGCATGCTCATGTGCTGGAGATCAGTGTGTGCCCGTGCCACAGGGCTGTGTGTTCCCTCCTGCGTGTCCCAGCAGCTGCGTGTGCCTGCTGGGTGCATGTTTGCAATGCATGCACACGCGTGTGCTGGGCAACGGTTCTGCACCTCCCTGCACTGCAGCACCACTCTCCGTCCCCTCTGCAGAGCTGGATGAGTCGTCCCACTTTGTCATCGGGGCCGTGCTGTACCGCACGCTGGGACTCATCCTGCCGCCCCCCAGGTGAGTGGGGCTGTCCCCCTGTCCCCATGTCCCTCTGTCCCCATGTCCCTGTGTCCCCACCACAGCTGCCTGCTCCCCACAGGACCCCACTGGCCGTCACCTCCAAAGTGCTGATGGTGACGGTGCGCCCACCCACCAGGCCCTCCGAGCCCCTCGTGCTGGTGGAGCTCTCCCACATCATCAATGTGAGTGTCCCCTCCGCCCCACTCCTGCCCCATCTGTCCATGCTCCATGTGGGGATGGACACCCCGTGGGGCCGGGATCAACCTGTCCGTCTGTCCATCCTCAGGGCACATCCCACCCGCAGTGCGTCACCTGGGACTACTCGAGGACGTGAGTGGGGCGCGGGGATGGGGTGGTGGGGGGAGGTGCTGTTCCCATGGCACCGGTGGCACCGTGGGGAGTGGGGCCAATGCCATCCCACGCTGAGCCCCTCCGGCTGCGGGATAATTTTGCCGGTGCGGGTATCGATTTGCTTCAGCATGACGCTGGAGACAGATGCCTACAGCCTGCCAGATGCAATTTGTTAGCGCGGCGCTTGCTGCGGTGGCAGGAGAGAGGAAAAGTAGGGCACGGTGAGGGGGGGCTGCATCGTGGGGTTGGACACAGCACCCCTAGGCGCCCTGCAACTTGGCATCCCTGGTGCCAGGACAGCCCCACTGAGGGGACTGGTGCTGGCTGGAGGCGCGCCGTGCTGATGGCTGTGACTGTGATGAGCGCAGTGGGTCTCAGCCCAGCATGGGGACACGTTCCCAGTTATGCCATAGACCCACAGCTCAATTCCCTCTGCACTGTGCAAGTGGCACAGCATCCCCAGGGGTTCCCCATCCCAGCACTGCCTCTTGCAGGGCGTGACCTCACAGTTGCAGAGGGGGAGCATTTGCCCCCCTGAATTTGGGTTTGCAGAGGGTGCATTCCTGCATCGGGTGCTGGAGAGCCCCAGGACTGCTCATGCCCATCCCTCCAGGCCTGGAGCCCGCTGTCTGGCTGTTGGCCACCAACGTGGATGGGATGATTGCAAACTTGAGGCTCCAGGGGAGATCAGCACTTTGTGCCGTGCCATGCACCCCAGGCATTCACCCTGCAGGGCGAGCAAAGGGTTAATCCAGAGCTGCGAGGGGCTGTGCGGTGGTTTGATCAAATTGCTCTCTCCCTCTTGTGCTTGTCCCATTAATCAGCGATGCTGGCTTGGGAAACTGGGACACGGAGAGCTGCCAAACCCTGGAGACCCTCCCGGCGCACACCAAATGCCAGTGCCGCCGGCTCGCCACCTTCGCCATCCTCGCACAGCTGCCCAGAGACCTGGTAGGGGACAGTGGGTGGGGATGGGGGCAGCAGGTGGGGATGGGAACATTGCAGGGCACGGCTGAATGGGAGTCCTGGGGTGAGGATGGGGAGGTGTTGCAGCCGTGGGACTGAGGGGGTGTGTAATGGGGGATGTCAGACCCGGGGGGGTTTCCCACTGTTTGGGATCCTGGAGTCCCAGGGATGCTTTCAGGTGGCATGGTGCTACAGGGCTCTGTTTAGGAGATGGGTCTCAGCCCTCATGGCATAAGGCCCCTGCCCTATTGCTATTCTGCCCACATCCCCTGTTGACATGGAGATGGGAACAGGTCCTCAGGAAGGTGCCTTGTCCACACCATTGCCACCGCCCACACGCTCAGGGGGTCCCCAGTAGGATCAGAGGGGTCCAGCAGGGAGCTGCCACGGGGGGGCTGGGCTGAGCTTCTCCCTCCTTTCCCCTTCAGGCCATGGACCCCTCGGGCAGCCCATCGGTGCCGCTGATGATCGGCTGCGCTGTGTCCTGCATGGCCCTGCTGACACTGCTGGTGATCTACGCTGCGTTCTGGAGGTGAGTATCCAGTCGGGTTGGGGGTTGGGGGGCACCCAAGGCATGACGGAGGTGGGGAGTGGGATGAGAAGGGGGACACAGCATTATCTATGGGATCAGCTCAATGTGATGGCATGCAGGGAAAGGTGACATCAGGATAGGGTTATGGTTGGGGTTAGGGTGGGCACCATCCCTGAGTCGGGGCAGCTCCTGCAGCACTTTGGAGACGTGGGATGGGAAGGGGATGGGGAGGGGACAGCCCAACCCCCAGCCCCATGCCTCTCTGCCTCCAGGTTCATCAAGTCGGAGCGCTCCATCATTCTGCTCAACTTCTGCATCTCCATCCTGGCCTCCAACGTTCTCATCCTGGTGGGGCAGACCCAGATGCTCAGCAAGGTGAGCGCCGCACCACACCCCCCAGGCGCTGCGTCCCACCCCCAGCTCCCAGATTGGATTTGGATTAACTCGATCTCCAGATTAAACGCTTTGTGTGACGGCTTTGGCACAACCCTCACCGCGGGCACAGGGTGTTAACCGCCGCTGTGCCGCATCCCCTGAAATTCCCCATGTCCCCGCAGGGGGTGTGCACCATGACGGCCGCCTTCCTCCACTTCTTCTTCCTCTCATCCTTCTGCTGGGTGCTGACGGAGGCCTGGCAGTCCTACCTGGCGGTGATCGGCCGCATCCGGACGCGCCTGGTCAGGAAGCGCTTCCTGTGCTTGGGATGGGGTAAGGGCTGGCGGGATGGAGGATGGGCACCGTGCAAGTTTCCAGTTTCCCACGGGGTCGTTGGAGCCCTTGTAGGGAATGGAGGCACAGCGGAGAGCAGTGAGGCCCCCCAGCTGTGGCCCCAGTCCCTGTCCCCATCCATTGGGGCTGTCATGGAGGGGGTGCCAGGGGTACAGCACCGCCCCCCCCCAGCTGGGCCCTCCCTCACTTCTCCAGGTTTGCCAGCACTCGTGGTCGCCGTCTCCGTTGGCTTCACACGGACCAAAGGCTATGGGACGGCAAGCTAGTACGTGGGGAAGGGGGGCACACCAGGCTGGGGATGGGGATGGGGAGCAGGCGGAGGCATCTCCTCCCCACACCCCTGACCTCCCCGGTCCCCACAGCTGCTGGCTCTCACTGGAGGGCGGTCTGCTCTACGCCTTCGTGGGACCCGCAGCCGTCATTGTGCTGGTAGGACAGACCCCCGCAGACCCCAGACCCTTCCTGTGTGTCGTGGGGGCCGTGGTGCCCTTAACCCTGGCTCCGCTCCCCAAGGTGAACATGCTGGTGGGCATCATCGTCTTCAACAAGCTCATGTCCCGCGACGGCATTTCAGATAAGTCCAAAAAGCAGCGAGCTGGGTAAGTGCCCTGCACCCGGCGGGACTGTGTGGGGCCAGCGCGGAGCCCCCTGCCCTGCTGTGGGGCTGGGGGCTGCGGGTCTCATGGGCACGGGGTGAGCATGGGGCAGAATTTGTCACACCAGTGGGAGGTGGGACTGAGGCTGGAGCAGCCCTTGTGCTGGGGGCTTTGGGGGGAGGGGGCTGTCACCCCAGGGAGAGGGGCTGTGGAGCCCCCTTGCTGCCGCTTGGCCACCGCTGCAAATCATTAACAGCTCTGCTGCCCCAACTAACCCTCTTTCTCTTTCTTTTTCTCCTTCCATTTGCTTTCTGCCCATGTCCATCCATCCGTCTGTCCATCCATCTGTCCCTCCCGCTGTCCCCCTGCCTTGTTGTCCCCGCCTGCCCCCCCCCCGTGGCCCGGTCCTGGCCGCGGGTTGCCGGGGGGGTGGTGGGCACGTAGCTCGAAGCCCCCCCCCTGCGGCAGCCTGCTGCTGAAATGCACCAAGTGCGGCGTGGTGTCCAGCGCGGCCATGACCTCCGCCACCGCCAGCAGTGCCATGTTAGTGCCCGCCACGCGCCCGCTGCGTCCCCACCCCGAGCACAGCCTGTACCGGGGTGGGAGGAGGGGGGGTCGGTACATGGGTTGGGTGCTGGGCACCCCCGTGGGGTCGGGGATGGGGCGTGAGACAAGGCTGTGTGCTCGGGGCGGCCCCGGGCGCGGGGTCGCGTGCCCCCTGCAGCCATCCCCCCGCATGGCATGGCTTCTGCCATCACCTCATCGCCGGGGTCGGGGCGTGGGGGCTCTTCTCCTCCTGCTTGGAGTGTTGGGATTGGGGCGGGCAGCATGGGAGCCCTTTCCTGGCACTGAGACCCCGGGTGCTGGTGGGACCCCCATCCGCCTGACGTCCCTGTCGCAGGGGATGCATCCCCAAAAGGCAGTGCCAAATACCTCCCTTTGTTCTACGGGAGGGTGAGGGCCACCCTGCGGCCCCCAGCGCCCTGGGACTGATGGGGGGACGAGGAGCTCCCATGACCCTCACCCTCACGTGGGTGAGCACCAGACTGGGGACAGCGGCCAAGAAAAGGGGACCCAGGGGAATGCTCGGATGCTGCACGTGTGGGCAGCCCTGGGAAGCAGTCGGGGTCTCGGGGCTGTGTCACTGCACCCCACCGGTGGGCTCACCCCCTGCCCTCTCTCCCTGCCCCAGGGCATCGCTGTGGAGCTCCTGCGTGGTCCTTCCCCTGCTGGCGCTGACCTGGATGTCGGCCGTGCTCGCCATGACCGACCGGCGCTCCATCCTCTTCCAGGTCCTCTTCGCCGTCTTCAACTCCGTCCAGGGCTTCGTCATCATCACTGTGCACGGCTTCCTGCGCCGAGAGGTGGGCCAGGGGCGCGGGGGCACCCCACTGCCTGCAGGGGACCCCCATCACCGGCTGTGTCCCCGCAGGTCCAGGACGTGGTGAAGTGTCAGATAGGGGTGTGCAGGAGCGAGGAGAATGAAAACTCGCCTGACTCCTGCAAGAATGGGCAGGTGCAGATCCTGGTGAGCGCGGCAGCGCCGGTGCAGAGCAGGCAGGGACCCCCGTGTGCCCCGCAGGTCCCCAAGATGCATTCACTTCCCCACCTCTCTCTCTCTTCTCTCTTTCTCTTTCCCTTTCCCCCTCTTTCTGTGTTTTTATAGACAGATTTTGAAAAGGACGTTGACCTGGCATGTCAGACAGGTGAGGGCTCCCCTGTGCCGTGCGCTGGGGTTCGGGACATCGCCGCTCCATGCCATGGAGAGGGCATGATGTCGTTGTGATGCCAGCATGTGGGGGCTTGCTCTTTGTCCCCCACCCCCCCAGAGGACCCCCTCCAACCCTCTGCCTGCCCGCAGTGCTCTTCAAGGAGGTGAACACCTGCAACCCTGCCACCATCACTGGCACTTTGTCGCGCATTTCGCTGGATGGCGATGAAGACCCCAAGCTCAACACCAGCTCAGAAGGCAATTTGGGCTTCTCCAGCCTGCCGGGCAACATCCCCACCGCCAGCATCCTGGTGCAGGTGCCCAAGATGACACCCAACGTGGTGGCGGGTTTGGAGCTGGGCGAGCCGCCGGCGCAGCTGGAGGCACAGGGTCCTGTCTACCTGTGCACCGAGAGCAGCCTGAGGCCCCTGGAGTACGGCTGGCTGCGGGCGCCAGAGCCACCAAGGGAGAGCGATTATATGGTGCTGCCACGTCGCAGCCTGCAGCCCTTCCAGCGCGAGGAGGGTCCCAGCACTGAGGAAGGGACCCCCCGTCCCACCGGGGCAGGAGAGGGGGATTCCTACCCCGGCTTTGTCTCGGTGGAGCATGTCAACGTGAACCTGAGCCAGCCCTACGGGACGGTGAAGCACCCCTATGGGCTGCAGTTCAAGCAGCACCCCACGGTGCGGCAGATCCTGGCGTCGGAGCTGTCGGAGCGCAGCCGCACCATGCCACGCACCGTGCCTGGCTCTGCCATGAAAGTGGGGTCCCTGGAGGTGAGCGGAAGTGAGGGAGGGGTGCAGGGCTGGGTGTGCTGGGGGATCTGTGTGCGTGGGGAGGGAAGCAGTGGGGAGAGGGGTGGTGAGCGTGCATGAGCATACATGTGTGTGCCAGAGCATATATGTGTGTGCCAAGGGCTGCAGAGCTGCCCTGTTCTCGTGCTCCTTGCCTGGCACCTGCTGTGCTGGGGATGGCTGTGTGACTCCCAAGGCTCTGCCTTGGCCTGCAAAGACCTTTCTTTGTTCTTATCCCTCTCCTCCCCACTGCTCTGTGCATCCCCCCCCAGAGGAAGAGGTTGCGGTACTCCGACCTGGATTTTGAGGTGAGTGGTGGCAGCAGGCCGTGATGGGGCAGGGGCCATCAGCTGTGCCACGTGGGGCAGATGGGGCCAGGCTGTAAAAACATCACACTGGGCACTGCGGAACACTGACTGCCCATCAGATCTCCAGCACTGGGTGGAACATTTTAGTTTGGTGGGAGGGGATGGTGATCACAGCCGGACTGCCCCTGGGTGTCCCCACATGGCCTGGGCATGGGCAGCTGTGCACCCGTGGGTGTGAGTGCATGTGCTGAGGGCTCTGCTCTCCCCTACAGAAGGTGATGCACACACGGAAGCGTCACTCTGAGCTCTATCACGAGCTCAACCAGAAATTCCACACGCTGGACCGGTACCGGGCGCCAGCTGCTGGCACCATCAAGGTGAGCTCTGGGCTCCAGCGGAGCAGGACGCTCAGGGGGGATGTGGGATCCTGGGCTGGAGGGGGGGGGACATGGGGCTGAGTGCTGCCTCTTTCCGCAGCGGGAAAAGCGATGGAGCGTCTCATCAGGTGGTGGGGAGAAGAGCGTGGCCACTGTGAGTGCGGGGACTGTGTGGGGACAGGGATGCATGGGCACGGGTGGCTGCGCCCCCCATAGGGCTGGAGCCGTGCAATGCCACACACTGCAGCCCCGCTCACCCCGCAGGACACAGCTGGCCCCGAGGACCCGCAGCCGCCGGCCGCACCGCCCAAACCCTGGAGCACATTCAAGGCGATGACTCTGGGCTCGCTGCCCAGCGCCCACCGGGACCGCCTGGAGCTGCGCTGCGCGGACTGGGAGGGTCCCTGCGCTGGTCTGGATGCGGCTGATGGGGACTTCCAGACGGAGGTGTGAGCCCCGTGCAGGACCAGCTCGGACGCTGTGTTACTCCGTCCTCCTCTGCGCCCGGGGGGATCCCATCCGTCGGAGCCATCCCTGCGGGGGGACCGCGCACCCCACACTCACCCACCGCTCACTTGCGCACCCTCCCGGCTCCCCCCGGGCAGGACCGGCCGCCGAGGCCCTGGCATCTCCGTTCTTTTTTACCGGGATGTTTCTTCACGCAGTGCACCGTGTGCACGCGCGCGGCGGCCCCGGGCACCCCACGCACCCCACGCCGGGTGGTGGTCCCGTGGCCGGGCGCCCTCGCCCCGTGGCCGCCCCCTCCCAGCCGTCCCCACCGTCCCCACCCCACGGGGCAGGTGCTGTCGTTGTTGGAAATAAAAGTTCACTCTCTGTGGTGCCGTGGGGCCGCCACGTGGTGCTTCGTGGTGCCACCGTAGGGACTTGGGGATGGCACGCGGTGGGGACGTGTCTGTCCCAGCCCTGCCTGCTGTGCCCTGTGCGTGGATCCCGAGTGGGGCTGAGCCCACCCTGATGCACTGCTGTGCAAATGAGTGCAGGAGCTGAGGGTGCTGAATGACATGGTAATTAATCTGCGAGCAAATGAGTAACTGGAGGCAGCTGGTGCCTGGGGCGGGGGCAGGGGGCACAGTCTCAGGGGGAGCAGAGGTGAGGCCTGCACTTGTGGCTGTGCCTGAGGAGAGGACCATCCATGTGCTGCTGGCTGTCACCCATGTGGCACGGTGGGAAGGCATTGGTGCCACCCAGGTTCCCCTCACCAACCTTACCATGTCTGTGCCCAAGGGAATGGGGGACCCTGTGCTGGAGCTGGCATGGAGAGACCCTCACTTTGACCCCAAGATGGTATCCAAAGCTCATAACCCAGTTCCTCTCCAGCAGCTCACTGTTTCCTACTGGTGTGGGACAGCAGTGGTGGGGGGTGACTGCAGGCACAGGAGATGCACAGTCATGGGGAGCTGCACAGGGGCACGGGCAGGATGCAGACCCCCAGTGCGCAGGTCTCTCATCCCCTGGTCGTCCCACTGGGCACTGACTGCATGGCCCAGCTTATCCCAGTGCTGACTGGTTTGGGGCTGTGGCTTCAGGCTGCGTGCTGGGAGCGAGGCAGCGCTGGGCTGGGGCCAGCTCCAGTTGTGCAACACGAGGGGACCGCAGCCTCGGTGCAGGGACTGCAGCTGGGATTCCCAGGGCACTGCTGCAGGATGGGGGCACCTGGCAGCCCTGACACTGCGTGCTGCTCCCTGGGTCACAGTGCTCACTGCTGAGAACAGCAGCCATGTCCTCATGCTCTGGTTGCTTGGTGTCCTCTCCACCACCCCACATCCAGCCTGGCCCAAACTTTGGGGCCGGCTCTGGGTCCCATCTTTCCCTTCCCAGCCCCAGGCAGCAGCAAGCAGTCCTGGGGCATCTGGTGGCAATTAGCAGCTTTTATTACTCATGGAGACGCCATATGGGTGAGGGAATGGAGCCCGCCCTGGCGGTGCAGGATTGCAAGGGGATGGGAGGAAGTGACATTCTGTAGGGCTGGGGATGCGTAGGAGGGAGCATGGGGGTCTTCAGCCCCAAATCCCATTGGTGTGTGCACAGTGTGTGAGTGGTGTCTGGGGGAACAGGGTTGGAGAGCCTCACAGCCATTTTCCATCATTGCGCCGCAAAGACCTGTGCCAAAAATGTTTGGTTTTGGGGGGCGGAAACGATGGAGAAAACACTCCGATGCTGAGCAGCCGGCACGGAAAGTTCCTCTGCTCGGGTTTGAGTGCCTCCGCCTTTCTCTCTGGCGAAGCACTTCCACCAGAAGAGACAAAGCTGCTGCTCCAGCGCCACAAACCCAGAATTCACACCGCAGGAATTCCGGGCTGGCACGAGCAAGGGATGGAGGCGGGGAGCCCCGCGGTGACGACGCTGCACCGCATGACACTCCATCGGAGGCAAATTGTCTCCAGCTTGAAAATTGCAGTGCTCTGCTTAGGATCGGGTTTCTTGGCCGCTGGTGTTGCTGTTTCTTGGAAATCCAGCTCGCCTCAGTGCTTCCTGGGGGCCCGCAGTCTCTTCCCATTCTCACTCCTAGGGGGATGCTGGGAGGATATTTGCTCTCTCGGTGGAGTTTCAGGCCACCATCCCCATGGAGCCTTTGGCAGAAGAGGGCAAAAAGCCATCCCTGAGCCTGCCCCCTGGCTGGAGGAGCAGGATGCAGCCTCCTGCCCCACGTGCTGGCATGAAGTGGCACAGAGCTGTGGTTATCTCTGTGCTGTGGCTGTCCGCACGCTCTCGATGCCAGCAGAGTCACTTTATGCCACCACACTGGGAACAACCAACCAGAATGGGAAAATTGAGGCACAGTGGGAGCAGTGTGGGGGATGGCTGCCACCCCCAACACGAGCCACAGCTGTGCCAGCACCACCGAGGGGCGGGAGGACGTGCCCAGGCTGCAGCAAAGTGCCCGAGCCCTGTTCGAACCCGCATGGAGCCGCGGGGAGGCTCTGCAAAGAGAGCAGCTCAGGGTGAATAATCACCCACTAAAAAGGAATGATAAAAGTTTCGTGATGTTTCATACCCACTTGCTTTAATTAGCCTTAATTGCTACAGTAGGCAAGTCGCAGATGAACTGAGCGCTCTGTCACCGCATCTCGGGGGCTGCCGGGTGGATAAACGGCACCGCACCGCGCTCCGGCAGCAGCGCTGCCTGCTCTGCCCCAGACAGCTTATTTACTGCGGGCTGAATAAATATCAGTTGTTAATTAGAGCGCGTTTATTGAGATGCATGCGTCCCTAACACACATTTGTAAAGCTTCAGTGTAAATAGATTCATCCTAATTTGGGTGGGAAGCGGTCGAGCAGAGGCGCGGCGGCGCTGCGTTGCAGTGGGGTGAGGGGACGCAGGGGATGCGTGGGGCTGCTTGGCAGCAGCTCATGTGGGGCAGTGGCCGTCCCGTGGGGTCCGCCTGTGGGTCCCAGGGCTGGGCCTGAGGGAACTGTGAGCGGAGGGGCATCCCGGGAGGACACCGTGTTCCTCACACTGCTGCATTTCAGGCCAACGACAGCTGTCACTGCTGCCAGCACCTGGGTCACCCTCTCTGTGCCTCAGTCCCCCCCCGTGCCCCACTGTCCCAGTGTCCTCTCTGTGCTCCGGTATCCTCCCACACCACAACGTCCCCACAGTGCCTCAGTTGTGCTGCGGTGCCCCGATGTCCCGCTGTGCCCCCGTGTCTCAGTGTCTCCATGGGACGAGGAGCCGCTTCCCATAGACGGGAGCAGGGCGCGGGGCTCGCTCCCCCAGGACACCCCGGGGGTGAATGGGGAGGGGGCGGGGGGGCGGTGTGCCGTTGCCGGGACCCCTGCGTGGGGGCGGTCCGGCCGGGAGGGAGAGGAGGAAGAGGAGGAGGAAGGCGGGAGCGAAGGAGGGCGGTGGTTCTGCCCTACCCCCCCGCCCCGTGCAGGGGAGGAGGAGGGCGGGCAGCGGCCGGGGGCGGCTCGGGCCCCCCCGGAGGGAGGCGGGGAAGGCGGCGACGGGGGCGGACGGACGGACGGACGGACGGACGGACGGAGAGCAGTGCCCGGAGCTCAGCGCCCGGCCCGAGCCGCACCGAGCCCGGCAGGTGAGCTCCAGGCAGCGGGCGGGGGAGGGCGGTGCTCCGAACCGGGATTTATCCGCACAGAGCTCGCGGCCTGGGAATGGGGAGCGGAGACCGGGACAGGACGGGGCACGGCAGGAGCCGGGCTGCTGGCCTATGAAGTCGGGGTGCAGGGATACGATGTTGGGGATGTTGGAGAAACGATGGTACAGAGTCGGGACGCCGTGCAATGAAGTCGGGATTTAGGGGTATAAAGTGGGGTGGAGGGGTATAAAGTCGGGGTGCGGGGGTATGGAGTTGGAATGCAGCACCATAAAGTTGGGATGCGGTGTTATGAAGTCGGGATGGAAGGGCAGCAAAGTCGGGATGCAGAAGCGGCAAAGCCGAGACGCAGTGGCGTCGGGTCGGGCTGCAGCGCTGTGAGGTTGGAGTGCAGGGCTACAAGGGAGAGCCGAGAGCGTAAAGTCGCAGCGTAGGGAGATGAAGCGGGGGTGGGGGGGTCCTGTGTGTGTCCCAGCCGGCAAAGGGGAACAGTGGGGAGTGGGGCTGCAGTCTCGTGCTGTCTCACTGTCTTGCTTCGTGGCAGGAAGCGGGCGGGGGGGGGGTCAGGTCGCAGTGACCCAACGGGCTTTGGACCACTCCAGGGAACCACGTGGGTCCTGGAGGCAGAAGAGAATGAACTGAAATTTCCTTTGGGGTCCTCAGCAGGAAGCACGTGGGGCTCCGGGGCACCTCAGCCTGACTTTGGGGTGCATCTGCGTGCTGGGGTTTGTGGGTCGGGTAGCAGCCCTGAATGTGAAGTCTGGGTGGGGGCATCCAGCAGTGGATGGGGGCCTCACTGCAGCCCCAAAGGCTGTGTGAGCTGTGGCCGAGTGGCTCAGAGCCTCCTCCATGCTGGTGGCTTGCAGGAAGCTTCCCAGCACAGGGAATGGCCATACCATCGCCCACCTGCCTGACTGCCCATCTCCCACCTGCAGGCAGCTGAGTTGACCCCGAGCTGCTGCCACGGGCACCATGAGGGGTCTCTGGGCCCTCGTCCTGGTGGGGCTCATCAGCGCCTGCGATGGGACAGAGACGCCAGCAGAGGAAGGTAAGGGGCACGGAGAGTAGGGGCACAGGGTCTGCAACCCCCAGGACGATCCCTCCTTACCTGTCCCTGGGTGTTCAAGGAGAAGATGAGAGAGCAATGCTGGAGTCACGAAGCATGGTGCAGAGGTGGCTGGGGGTCACCGTGAGCCGTGTTGGATCCCCACGTGCCAGCAGTGCTGGCAGCAGGGCAGGCTGCCTGCTCCCTGTGCCGACTGCACGGGACGTGGGGCTTTGCTCAGCATCCCAGACGGGCACAGGGCCAGCGAGAGCAGCGCCACTGTGGGGAGCCAGGCCGGGGACACCCTGCTCCCACACACGTCACCCCCGCGGCACTGGGAACACCCTGCAGGGAGGGAGGGGGCTTGGCCACGCTTTGGTTGCAGGTGCTGGTTGCCAGCTGGCTGTTCTGTCCTGTAGTGGGGCTGCTTGGAGCTCATGGAGCACTGTGGCTCTGGGTGCAAAGTGGGAAGGGATCTGGCCACAGTGCATGGAAAGAACGGAGGCACGGGGCTCTGGGGAGCAGTGGGCATTGGTGGAGCCATGGGGGTCTCCTCTGCAGTGTCCCTGGCTGTGCGTGGGGCCGGTGTGGGGCTGGCTGTGGGGTGAGCTGCAGGCGGATGGTGGGGAGGAGCTGCTGGCAGTGAGGCCGTGGTTGCATCAGTCTTTGTGGGGGTGGAGCGGTGCTCGACCTGCTGGGGGGTGCAGGGGCTGCAGCCCCTTGGCACAGCTGGGGCACCCAGAGGGCAGAGCACCATTGTTGGCACGGCACTGTGAGGTCCTGGTGCAGAGTGTGGGACCCCGTGGCCAGCACTGGCAATGCTGCTGCGGGCTGTTAATTAGGGAAACGAGGGCTGGGATGTCCTCAAAGCAGGCAGTGCTGAGGGTGAGGCTGTACCCCCTGCCCCGAGCAATGATCT